GGACCAAATAGGGTCTCTTCACGGTGATGCGCTTTCCCACTTTAGCGGCAGATGGTTATCGGGGGACATCCTTGGGCTTGCTATGCAAGAGGGAGCGCATTTCTGGAGGCCTCACTACGATCTTATGGCTCAGGTGTTCCGAGGATGGGCCTCTGGCAGGCTCAATTGCTACGCTGCAGTGTTCGGGCTTCAGCGTTTTCTGATTGACACCGAACAGCTCTTGGCCGTGGCATTGGAGCAAGACAGGTGCAAGCACCTTGAGGCCCAGGCGGACACGATTGCCGAAGCAAGGGACTTCGGGCTTCCCCGCTCGGAATGCAGTTTGGAGGTCGCCCACCCAAGATCCCCACAACTTTTCCCTACTCGACCACTGAAGACGGCACGGCGCTGTGCACGGAGTCAGACGTGGCCAACAATCTTCAGCAGCACTTTGCCAAAGTTGAGAGAGGCAAGTTCGAGGATGCTGAAGGGATACAAAGACACTATAATGATATGATCCCACTCCTTCCAGATGAGGCTCCTCGGGACCTGGAGCTATTTGTCTCGAAGGTTGGATTGCTAGCGTTGATGAGGGGCATCCAAGGAGGGAGGGCTCCTGGTCCAGACGGCTTTCCCCCCGACCTGCTCAAGCTTGCCCCCCTCGAACTGGTGGAAATCATCCATCCCCTCCTCACCAAGGTCACCATGGCCACTAGGGAACCCCTGGCTTTCAAAGACGGGCGTGTTGGCACCTTTTTCAAGGGGAAAGGCTTGATTGCCTTGGCCGCCAACCAGCGCAGCATTTTGATGACTAACACGATTAGTAAGATACATCACCGGCACCTCAGGTGCCTTTCCCTGGACTATTTGTATGCTGCGCTGTTGGCCCAGCAATGTGGGGGGCTACCTGGTAGATCGTGCGACACGGCTGCGCATTATGTCAAGGCCTTCTGGGCGGCCTCTGAAGCGCGGGGTGTTTCATGTGGGTCCCTGTTTTGTGATCTTACGGCTGCCTTCTACTCCACTATCCGGCAGCTGGTGTATGATCTACCAGGTGAAGGGGAGATGCTCAGTGAAGTCTTGGATGAGCTCCCAGTGCCTCCTATATTAGCTGCGGGCGTTCGTGCTCAGCTGATCACAGGCCCCATCTTCGATCAGACTATTGAGAAGCCCCATCTAGTCGCCCTACTACGGGAGGCTCAAAGGGGGGCCTTCTGGGCCGTGGGAGGAGCTGAGGGATGCGTTATTCCCCGCACAGGGTGCCGTCCTGGCACCGTGATGGCGACAGACGTGTTTAATATTGCTTTCGCGAGCGTTCAAGAGGAGATAGAAGCCGAGATGGAAATGAGAGAGATTCGGTGGCTACCCACCCCCTCTGTGCGAGTGTTCTCCTCGGCGGTCGAACATGATGAAGTGTGCGCTTCAGTCTCCTTCGTTGACGACCTCACCCCCTCCGTGGCCTCGCCTGATCCAGCTGAACTCTTACAGATGTTAGGGGAACTCATCGATATCGTTTTTGCGGTGTGTGCTCGTCACGGGCTGTCCCTAAACCCCAGTAAGACAAATATCATGTTGAGATTTCGGGGGCGTGGCTCACAGGCGGCCCATCGGGAGGTTTTCGATCAGGCGGAGCCCTACTTAGCTTCCCCCCAGTGGAAAGTAAAAGTCGCCGTTGTGCGCTCACACAAGTGCCTGGGGGTAGTGCTCGCTGACACTGGATCCGAAGGGCTGGAGATTTCTGCGCGTTCTATGTCTGCCAGGGCCGCTGTCAGGCCCATCAAGGCCACCGTCGCTCCCCGCCTCTCCCTTCCTCTCCGTGCCAAAATATTGTACACGGAAGCCTTCGGATCCAGCAGATGCTTTTATGCCTCATGTTTATGGCGCCCCATGCCTCAGGCCGTTCAATCTAGAGTGCGGAGCTGCCGCGAGTTCTTGTATCGCTGCGCGCTTGGACTTCCTGCCAGCAACTCACCCGAGCACCATCTTTCGTATTGGGATGTTTTGGCTCGTGCGGATCGACTTCCCTGGGACGCCGTTGTTCATGTCTCCAGGCTGCGTTTCCTGGTTAGGATGTTCAAGTTCGCGCCGCGATACTTGCTGACCCTTCTCGACGTTTCCCTCCTGCATCGGAGAAGCTGGGTCTCGGCCTTGGCCGCGAGTTTCGATTGGTTAGTTTCGTTCATGGATCCTGATTCGGTCCCTGGGACGGGGGGACTCGACGAGTGGCTAGCTGCACTTCAGATGGACCCCCAGCGTTTTCGGGCCACAATCAAAACAGTCATCCGAAGAGCGAGAGAGTGGTGGAGTGACCGACACCTGCTCCACCTGTGGGACATCAGGGTCCACGAGGCGTTAGCCGGCACGCCCATGGACGGGGACGCTGGGGACGTGGTGACATCCTACATGTGCTACGAGTGCGGCCAGCTGTTCAAGTCAGAGCGCGCACTGCGCGCTCACAGGGGTAAACAACACCCCGCCCCCACATCCCCAGCTATGATGGCCGTTGGCACCTGCTGCTCTATTTGTGGGTGGGACTACCGTTCCAATGGGAGGTTGTACAAACACCTAGCCAGGTCCAAAAGTTGTTTCCGAGGCCTTGTGGCCTGTGGTGTGCGTCCCACTCAGGATGAGGTCGATGAGGCTCGGGCTACCCGGCGTTGTGAGCAGCAGGCTAACAGGGCCAAGGGGTTGACGGATGATTTCGCCCATTTACCCAGGGTTCGCATGATTGGACCAGTCAGAGGGGTCCGTGTTTTGGAGGAAGAACCCCTCGTGGTCGAGCCCGTCGCCCCCCCCCCGCCTCCTCCTGTCCTTCCTGCCTTCTCTCCTGCTCCGCCCCCCTCTCGCCCCTTCCGCTTTCTTCTCCACCTCTTCTCGGGCCAACGGCGTGCTGACGACGTGCAGGATTGGATTGAGAGACTTGTTGCTCAGCATCCCACCCCAGTTGTTGTGCTCTCTATTGATATTGCTAACAGTCCGAAGTATGGTGATTTAAGTGATGTTTCCACGGTAACTTTTTGGTTACGTCTTATGGAGCAGGGGTGGGTTGCTGGGGTTATCGCTGGCCCCCCCTGTGAGACTTGGAGTGCTGCTCGTCACAACCCTGTTCCCCCCGAAGCCGTTGGCCCGCACCCTCGGCCACTGAGGGCGCCTAGTGAACCCTGGGGGTTAAAGTACATCACTCCCAAGGAACGAGAACAGGTCGGGGTGGGGAATGCCTTGCTAAGAACCACCATTGAATTTCTGATTTCCGCTTGGAAGCTTGGACTACCAGCGATCATGGAGCACCCCGCCCCGGCCGAGCATCGTCCTAATGTTCCCAGCAGTTGGCAGCTCCCCGTCCTTTCAAAGCTGGCCCGACAGATGGGGGTCAAACTACACAGGATTGACCAGTGCATGTTTGGGCTTTGTGCGAAGAAACCTACGGCCCTGTTGGGTGTTCATGTCCCCAGGCTCAATCAGATGATTAGTGAGCTGCCGCACCAGGGGAGATGCCAACACAATGCGCACGTCCAGGTCCTCCAGGGCCGAGATTCTACGGGGGCTTGGCAGACTGCGCGGGCCAAAACATATCCCTCGGAGATGTGCCGTTTGATGGCCATGAGCGTTTTTGTCGCTATCCAGGACCAGTTCGGGCCCGATCCTGGACCGCCGCCTTGGGACCTCGGGGAGGAGTTTGAGCCCTTCTTTGTGCCTCTGGATCCTTTCTATGATTTCAGGCGTGGTCGTGATTTCGCCCAAGTGACACCACCATCTCCCTCCTGACAAGCACATGGTGTGCGCGGCACCGCTAACTCTCGCAGTACCCTCGGGGAAGGTATGTGTTTGACTGTTTTTTATGACGCCTGGGGTGTGCGCGGCACCTTAACTCGCTGTCCAGGTTTGTCACGTTTTGCTGGCGGTGTGCGCGGCACTATAACTCGCAGTAATCAGGTGAAGGTATTTTTTTCGATCCTCTATGGGGGGATCAGTAACCTGATGAATGGCCAGCCCGTCCCTGACTACTTGATGGTGGCGCCCTCCCCCAGCGGCGTTACTCACTAAGCTGCCGTACGCCTGGGATGTTCTACCTGCCCACGTCAGGATCGGGGCATTTAAAGTGGCCTTGATATGGTGGTGGGATCGAGCTTTGGACTATGGGGGGGGGGGACTTTAGTTTCACCCGAGAGGCCTGCCCGCTGCCGCGATCGCTGCCTCGCCGCTTTTCTCTCTGCCATCGCTGCTCTCATCTAGCTTCGTTTGGGATTCAGACTCATTCCCTTATGGCCGACCGACCGACCGACCGAGGAGGAGGAGGAGGAGGAGGAGGAGGAGAAACAGGAGGAGCGGGAGCAGGAGCAGGAGCAGGAGCAGGACGAGGACGAGGAGGAGGAGAGGAAGAGGAGGAGGAGGAGGAGGAGGAGGAGAAGGAGCAAGAGGAGCAGGAGCAGGAGCAGCAGGAGGAGGCGCAGCAGGAGGAGGATTGGCCGTCCATTAAGGACAAAGATGAGGAGGAGAAACAGGAGGGTTTCCAGAAAGGAAAGAGGCCGTCCATAAAGGAGAGAGACCGCCCATAAGAAGAGGATGATGATGATGATGATGAGGAGGAGGAGGAGGAGGAGGGAGGAGGAGGAGGGGGAGGAGGAGGAGAGGGAGGAGGAGGAGGAGGAGGAGGAGGAGGAGGAGGAGGAGGAGGAGGAGGAGGAGGAGGAGGAGGATGAGGAGGAGGAGGAGGAGGAGGAGCAGCAGAAGGAGCAGTGGGAGGAGGCGCAGCATGAGGAGGAGGATAGGCCGTCCATAAAGGGAGGAGGAGGAGGACTAGGAGGAGGAAGAGGAGGAGGAGGAGGAGGAGAAGGAGGAGGAGGAGGAATAGGAGGAGGAGGAGGAGGAGGAGGAGGAGGAGGAGGAGGAGGAGGAGGAGGAATAGGAGGAGGAGAAGGAGGAGGAGGAGGAGGAAGAGCAGGAGGGGGGCTGCCCTCGGCACTGCCCCAGGCCGCAGGGGGCCGGCGCGAGGCCGCGGTGGGCGCGACCGAGGCGCCGGCCAGGCAGGCCAGCAGCAGCGCGCTGCGTGCGGAGGCCGCGGTGGCGCCGGAGCGCGCGCGCATGGGCAGCCAGGCCCGCTCCAGGAGAGTGGGGGGGGGCTGCGAGGGGGACCTCGCCTCGCGGGGGGGGGGATAAAGGAGGAGGCGGAGGAGGAGGAGGAGGAGGAGGAGGAAGGGAGACGTGAAGGGAACTCCTCCTGCTACTCCTCGTCCTCCTCCTTTTCCTCCTCTTGCTCCGCCTCTTCTTCCGCCCCCTTTTCTGGTACACAGCTCCCCCTTCTGCTTGCGCATCACGCGATTGAGTCATTTAGGGGTTCCGTCCAGGTCTGCTATGGCACGCTATGGCGCCCGTAGACCATTATCGAAAATCGGCGCAGTGGAAACGGACGTGTAGGATGGGGCACGATGTCAGATATGGCGCGAGCGCACCTGGCTTATCATCGTCCCCTCTTCCTCCTCTCTCTCCTCCTGCTCTTTCTCCTCACCCTCATCCTCGTCATCCACCTCCTCCTCCTCCTCATCATCATCATCACCATCATCATCATCATCAGCATCATCATCATCACCACAAATATCATCCTCGTCCTCATCAACCTCATCCTCCTCAACTCCCATCATCATAATTACCACCACCACTATAATCATCATCACCACCATCCTCATCACCACCACCACCATCATCATCATAATCCTCCCCAACATCCTCGTTATCATCTTCATCCTCATCCGCATCCTCATTGGCATCCGCTTCCTCATCCGCATCCTTATCAATATCGTCATCACTATCATCATACTCATCACCATGAAACACCCTCATAATCACCATCAACATCATCATAACCGTCACCATACATCACACTCAACATCATCACCATCAACCGTCATCATCAACACCATAATCGTTTTCATTTTCAGATGCATCCTCATATTCTGATTCATCCTCCTTACCAACATCACCACCGCCACCATCACCATCATCATCTTCACCATCATTATCATCATTGCCATCGCCATCACCGTCATCGTCAATTTCACCGTCAGCGGCATCAGCACCATCGTCATCAACACCACCATCATAATACAGCTCCTTCCACTCCTGGCCCTCATCCCCCTCGTTTCTCTGGAAGGCCGCTGGAGCGCTCGCTCGGACCCTCCTCATCCTCTTCCCCTCCTCTTCCTCCTCCACCTTGCAGGGGGGTCTTCGGGGGCGAGGGGGGGGGGTGCTCGAGCGCCAAGCGGCCGCGGGGCTGCTCTGGGCCGCGGCGGAAGCAGCAGCGCAGGCATCCGTAAGCAGAGAGGGGCAGTGATCAGGCTGAGCAAGAGAATGGGCGCGAGGACAGGGAAGCAGCTGAGCCAGTTGAGGACTGAGCGAAAGGTGGCGTGAACGATGCGATGTTGAGCTTGCTGTATGGCTCGATGCGTGGTTTGGCGGCGCTCCTGTTGCGCAGCAAAGCGGCGCTCTCCCTGGCTGTGTGCGGCGGGGGGCCCTGCTGGCGGGGCGTGAGAGAGCGCGCCCGTGGGGGTGTGATTGCTAAGGGGGGGGGCCCTTAGCAATCACCCCCCCTTTTAGACCTCCCTTGCCCGAAGCGCCCCCCCACCCGCCCCCCTTTTCGTCCGCCCCTCGGGAGCTGCCCCCCCCTTCTCCCTCCCCCCCCCTTTCGCGCTCTGGAAGCTCCCCCCCCCCCGTCCTCCCACCCCTCTCCACAGGGGAGGGCGGGGGAGCTCAGCTATCCCCCCCCTTTGATCTCTCTCTTCCCCCCCCCTCCCTTCTTTGTGTTCCGCCCCTCGGAAACTCTCACCCATTTTCCCCCTTCGCGCTCCGGAAGCTACCTCCCCCTTTCCAAAAGGGGGCGGGGGCTTAGCTAGCCCCCCCCCCCTCCATTTGAACCCCTCCTGCCGGAAGCACCCCCCTCCCCCCCTTTTTTCCTTAAGGGGGGGGGCTTGGAAGCACCCCCCTTCGGCTAAAGGAAGGGGCGCCGAAGACCAAACTGGAGCCGAAAACCAACAGAGCGGCGAAAACAACATGTCCACCGAAAACTGAAAGTGCACCGAGAACCGAGGCGCGCCGAAAACAGAAGGCACGCCGAAAACCGAAAGGGCGCCGAAAACCAAATGATCGCCGAAAAGCAAAAGGAGCGACGAAAACAGAAGGGGCGCCGAAAAACAAAAGGGCGCTGACAACCAAAAGGACGCCGAAAACCAAAGTGCCGAAGACCACAGTAAAGCCGAAAATTAATGGAGCGCCGAACATCAAGAGGCGCCGAAAACCAAAGAGGCGCCGAACACCAAAACCGAAAATGCGATGAAAACCAAAAGAGCGCCGAGAACCAGGGCAGCGCCGACTAAAATGGCACCGAACACCAAAGAGGTACGCAGAAAACAACAGGAGCTTCGAAGACCAACAAGGCGCCGAAAACGGGCGCCGAAGTCCGCAGGGGCGCCGAAACCCAAATGAGCGCCGAAAACCAAAGAGGCGCCGAAAATCAAAGGGGCGCCGAATACAACGATGCGCCGAAAACCAAAAGGGCCGAAAAACCAAAAGGGGGCCGAAGACCAAAAGGGCGTCGAACACCAAAGGGCGCGAAAGACCGAAGGCGCGCCGAATGCCGAAGGTGCCGAGAAAACCAAAAGGGCGTCGAAAACAAAAGAGCGCCGAACACCAACCGGGCGACGAAAATCAAACGAGCGCCGAAAACCAAGAGGGCGCCGAAAACCAAAGGGCCGTCGAACCCCAAGTGGACGCCAAACACCAACAATGCGCCGAAAAACAAAGGGTGCGCAGAAAACCGGAAGGGGCGCCGAAAACCAAAGTAGCGCCAAAAACCACAGAAGCGCCGCAAACCAAAGGAGAGCCGAAAACCAGAAGCGCGCTGAAAACCAAAGGGGCGCCAATAACCAAAGGGTCACAGTAAACCAACGAAGCGCCGAAAACCAAGGAGACGCTGAAAACAACAAGTACGCCGAAAACCAAGGGGCACCAGAAACCAACGAAGATAAGTAGTGTCGAAGCACCGCCCCTTCAGCCAGGGCCCGCCAGCTGGAAATGCCAAGAGAAGGAGGGGAAAGGGGGGGTAGCATTGGAATCTCCCCCCTCTCTGGACAGGAGAGCCTGGGCTTACCCCGGGTCTCGGAAAGGAGGGGCGGGGAGGGGTAGTTTCCAAGCCCCCCCCCCTTTGTGCCAGGGACCTTCCAACTACAACATCCAAACAAAACGAAGGGTGGGGTCGCTTCGGAAGTCCCCACTCCCTTTTGGAAAGGGAAGCCCGGGCCCCGAAAGGGGGGAAGGGGGCGGTTAGCTTCCAGGCGCTCCCCCCACCCTTCAGCTAGGGCACCCCCCAGCTGAGCAAAAACCATGCAAGGAGGGGAGGGGGTAGCTTCGGAAGCAGTCCCCCCCTTTTACCAAGGGAGCAGGGGGGTAGCTTGAAGCTGGGCCCCATCTCTTAGTAAAGAAAGTTCCACGGGTGCGCTCTTTTTAAGGCGTTGACCACGGATCGGAGCGGGAGTATGTTGCTCGCGGGGCCTCCTGCAACTTTCGAAATCCTAGAGGTCACCGGCTTGGAATCATCTTGCTTGTGGTCGTTGTTTAGATTCTGGTATGACCCGTGTGAATGTCCTTTCGGTGGAGTGTCGGAGCTGGCACGTGGGGCTGCGGCTGGGGCCACCTTTTTCGGCGACCTCGTCCATTCGGCGCTACGAGATTTGGAGAGCGTGCTCATTCTTAGCGGGCCGACAGCAGTATGTATAGCATGAAGGCCTCGTCTGTAAAGCGCCAGTCACAAGGCGGCTGGAGCATTGATGCCCCCACGGCGGAGAGCGGCGTTCTACAACAACGTTCGCCGAATTTTGAATTTGGATCTCGGCTTCAACTCTTGATCTGACATGTTAGACTGATCCGCCGGCTTACATTGGTGGGTGTGTCCGCCCTTTCAGTGCTCTCCGTCGGTATTCGTGCCTTCTTGCAGCGTGTACCATGTAAGGCTCCCCCGACGTACCGAACCCGAAACGGATTCACTTGTTCGACAAAGTCCCTGCGCTTGTTGTCTTCCGCGCAAATTAGTACCCCATGGCCAGAGTCGCAGGTGCCCCCCTCGCCCCCCCCTCCCCAGCCCCCCCCGAGCGCGATAGTGTCATGTGGATCCGAGCGGCGCTGCAACTGCTGACTCTGGCTCCGCTTTGTAAGACTGTTCTTGGATGATGAGGGGGCTATGTCGTTATTTTCTCGTTGGAACTCCTGTTATCTATCCTTGCAAGCTTGCAAGCTGGTGGATGGCACGCTGGCTGCGTCGGGACCTTGACTGCTGGCTTTGGTGACACGCGCGAGGAGTTGACTAAGTCGGGCCAGAGCCAATATCGAGTCGGCCAGGTCAAATCGAAGTGGACCGTTGTGGGTCGTCGGTCGCGTGGCCTTGAGGGTACAACAAAGTTGTTGCCATAATGAACGCTAAGGAAAAGAGCTCCTGTTTAGCCCCAAACAGGTCCCTGAGTGCACGCGGAGCGCTAGAGGGACACACATGAAATGACGTGAGGAACCGCGAGCCTTCCGAACCCGATCTGTTCCTGACCAGAGCTCCGAAGTCGTGATTGTTTCACAGCGTGGACCCTGGAGATGTGAAGCCCTACCCCAAGACTGGACTTTCACCAAGAACAATGCTTAACTGCCCCAGGGCCCTGGTGAGGCTCCCGGGAAGCTGAACACTGATCAGCACCTCCCGTCGTTTTTGGTTTGTGGCAACTAGAGGAGGTGGAGGGTCAATCATCGTCTCGACAGTCTTCCTGCTGCAGATCGGACTGCTTCTGACAGCACTGGGCTCCATCCCTCGAGGTGTGCCCTGCGCTCTTTTGCTCCTGGACGCTGGCCACGGGGAACATCACATCTGCCACCGCGCTTGCGAAACGTTGAAATGAACCGTGGAATCTTAGAACGCTTGTTCGATGTTACGCAAGGGCTTGTTGTTTACATGCAAGACACATCAACGATATTCCAAACCACTCTCCCTCTAAGTTCCCTCTTCATATACCCCAACAATATCTTCTACTGCGGAGGGTGGCCCGTTGGAGGACAACCGTCAGATAATATCCAGTCGTGCCCGAACCACTATTGGGAGTCCCACG